TTAAATGTTTCAATTAAAACCAGAAGAGAACTGCCTCTCTCTGGAATTTAAGAGAGATTACACCAAATGAAAATTCCTGATTAAAGTGAAACTAGATGAAAACATGTAAACAGTCAAGAAAGGAGCCTCCCTAAATATCATTTCAATGTTTTGTTTCAATGAAGAGCTTTAGATAAAGTATTTTTCATTATTTTGTATTTTTTAGATTAAACATTTCAGTCAGATTTTCAGATCAGATCTTTCTGCATGGAAGGCATCATGGAGTCTGTTTTGTTTTGTGGGTCTGAAATTGCTTCGACTTGTTTTAGTGTTAAAGTCAAACTTGTCCAGTGTGTCTTTGGAAGCTCAGCTTATTGAATCGGACGTGTTAAAGGGGCAAATCAGGATGTACGGAGGACCAGGAGAGCCACTGAAAAAATTTAACATTTAAAATTATTCAATCAGAAACCCAAATTCCAAATTAATTTGTAATTCAATATTTTAGTACGAGCTGTTGAAGAGCAATTGTAAACTGAATTTATTCATCCATTATTAAACACTGCATTTTAAAATCTTCTGTCTAAATTGAGATTTAAAAACCACAAATAATTAAAAGTTTAAAAAATATTTTAAAAAGCAATAGCTTTTTACAATTCCGGTTTCTTTTTTAACTTATAATTATCTTATCCTTATCACCTTGTTCTCTCCATGAACCTGAACTCATGGAGCTGCTCCTCAGGTGTAAGCAGCCATCTCATTGGTTAGACCTGGCCTGCCCAAAGTTGGTCCTCAAGGGCCACCGTCCTGCAGATTTTTCTCTGCTTTCAGCTGAGCTAAAGCAGAGAAACCTCTAAAACCTGCAGGACGGTGGCCCTTGAGGACCAACTTTGGGCAGGCCTGGGTTAGACAGACACACTTAGAACACATCACCATGGTAACACAGTTAGGAGGCAGTGATTTCTCCTCCACCTCATCACTTTGTAACTCCGTACAGACTTGGCAAAGTATCAGTACGATCCCTCCTACTTGTGAGAGAAACTCTCTGGATGCTTCAAAGATTTTCCTTTTCTGTAAAAGTCTCCTTCACTGAAAAAATATAATGCAGCCGTGCAATAAATGATCAGTGTTTTTAATTCAGAGTAATTTCCATGTGAATGTGCTTTACTGGAGGCATCCATG